CGTGGCTGAGAGTGTTTTTGCAGCCTTTGCCGTTAGCCATGAGAATTATCAAAGCACGGCTTGCTAGGAAAGAGCGAAAGGATCGGTTCAGTCAGGAAAAGAAAACAGAAACTGAGGAGTAAGTGGAGTTATTTTCCCAGTAGGTGAAATACTGTCACAGAGAGGAAAGGGAAGAAGCTCTTCTTTATGTCCATAGTTATTTGGAGAAGAGATAACGAGCTGAAGTGTCAGCAAGCAAGGTTTAGGTTAGGCAATAGGAAAATATTCTAATTTAGGACAGTGAGACGGATTGTCTGAGGAGTTCGTCACTGCCTGTCACGGTGACGTTGTCCTATTTTGAATAGGCTACAATGGGAGTTTCCAAACCTTCTCAGACCTGCTCCAGACTGTGCTCTCTGTGACTCCACCTTCCCTGTCCCCTTCCTCAGCACCGCCGCACCGTTTCGCACCCTTGGCTGCTGCTCCCAGCCGGCCGGCGCAGCCTCCTCGCTTTGGGGTGTGCGAGTCCGGCACCGACGGGAAGCGTTTCTGCGCAGCCAGCAGCCCTCCGTAGCAGGTGCGGCAGGATGCGAGCTGTCCGCCCCTTCAGGGAGGCTGGCCTAAATGCTCGCCTCTCTCTGCTGGGCTTCCAAAGACCAGGAAGAACGATCCTTCAGGGGCCACAAAATCCCAGCGCCCCTTTAAAGTCTTAAGCTCTTACTTTAGACGCTCGAGAACTGCTCGGTAATCTTCAGCTTTAGAGTCAGTGAAGTTCCCGGGGAGGGGGAGGTAGAGAAGAATGACAACAGCATTTTTTTCCTTTATGTTTCAGAAAGACTATCGATAGTCAGTAATAACCTTCTTACCAGTTTTGTTATTTGCTAGCTATTTGTTGCTTTTGTTTTTCATACTCTGTGAGTGCCCCCTTAACGTGGGATCCTGCTGCTCAACATATTTCTCTAGGAAATACCGTTTCGTGGATACAAATGACTAAGCTGAGCAGCACAGCTGCTAATCACTTGTTATATTTAAAAAGTATTAAAGGTTTTAATTGCTGTAACAAATAAAACTTTAAAGGAAAAAAGGCACACAACAAGTGATAATTTTCAATTGGAGGTCTATACTTGCTGTGAAAGTTTATAGTCTGAGGCTTTTACATGGTGTAGGAATCCTGACCACACTGTTTTCCTGTCCCTCCCTTACAATTATTTCTTTTTTTCTTACCTTTAAAAGTCCTTTCTGAATTGTAAAATCTTTATATGGTGTTGAAGGCATTGCAGAAAACAGACGTTCTTAAAGGATCATTATTTTTACTGCTTTTGTTACTTCATCCCTTTCTGTGCCATGTACAGATTTTAAATAGTAATCTACCAGCTTATTAATGGTACCTTTCTCACTTCAAATATATAGTGCAGAACCATTCATTTTTACCACATCAAACTTTTCAGTGTGTAGCTATTCAAAAGAAACCTCACAGGTTAGATGAAATCATACAGTTCTTATTTCACACTATGTAGTCTATGCTTATTTCTCAGAAAATGTATTTCTAAGCACTTTGTGAAGGGGAGGTACGTATTTAAAGGCACTGTTTATTTACCATAATATCTTAAACAGTACAACTATATTGTAGTTCAGTTTCATATCTTCTTGAAAACTATCTCTAAAAGTCTTGCAAATGGGCTCATTCTGCAAATAGCCTGGGTCCACCTTGATTTCCATTACATCAGTTTCACACTGTATTGTTACTGTTATTTTAGGTTTTGTAGTATTAGGTGTATGCACTTGAATAAAAAAGGGGAAAAACAGTTTTCTTTGAATAATGACAGTCTTTCTGTAAAAAAGCAATAATAATTTTATCAAAAGATTTGACTTTGACACCAAAAATATGAATTTTAAGTGAATGCTTTCAGTCCGTTACTCTTTTGAAATTTATCAGCAAACTTGTTTTTCAGAAGAATAATTTGATAGCTGGAAAAAGCAGTCTTTTTTTTTTTTTTTTTTTAAGCTCATGGAAATTTGTGAAGTTTTCCTTAATACCTAATGTGGAAAAATTAGATGAAAATCGTAAAAGCCAGCTAAATTGTTCATATTGGCTGTATCAGAGAACTAGTGGGCCAGATCCTGAGTTAGAGGTATAAAGAGAGAGAAAACCAATGGCATCTGCATTTTAACTTGCACTCATTTTTTAATTGATTTTCTAATTGAGATTTGGCAAAGAATAATCCTGTTGATTTGCCAGCTGCTTTTATATGTATTCGCTCCTAAGCTTATTCCAGGAAATAGCCTCTTTAGTTATTTTAAAACATGTTAAATAAATAGGTTGTGGTTATGAGTAGTATCTGCTGATCCTGGAAGAGTACTGTTAAATACTGAGGGTTGATTTATAATCCTGGAATTCTTCATAAAAATAGTTGGAACTCCTTAATAATATGTGGTTTTTGTATGCTTTTGATGAAAGCAGCTTCTGAATTTGAACTGTAAAAAAAAACCTTTGTAATGATTTTAAAGTGATTAAAAGCAATCATCTTCTCCCATTAATTATTGTCCAGAATCACCAGTGAGGGAAAATATGAAACAACTGGAGGAATGTCATAATATAGCTTTTTCATATCTATATACATTCAATAAACAATAGCCATGTAAAACTATTTAACATGAGTTTATTCCATCAAAAGTAGAAGGGAGATAATTTTCTTTGAAATGAAAAGTATCAGTGTAGTACATAAGTTAGAAATACACAGTGATGTTATTTTAAATAAAAGACAAAACAAGATATTGTGGGATTCATAATTTTTATAGCAGGCAAATTTATAAAATAATAATTCTGTATAAATAAATTTGAACCACAAAGTGGGGACCTATAATTTACACACACTATGCACTTTTTCATATTTGTAAACATAAGATACATGCACTAATATTCTCAGAATCACAGTACATTTCAGAGGCATTAGTATTTGAGGAACATTTAGCTAGCCAGAATATTACTCCTTCAGTGAAGGAGAACTGAAAAGGAGTGGTTTCATTTTCAGCTGTGTGAATGGGGAGGAGGCTCAGAATGTTTTCACTCTGAATTTAGAAATCTGTTTATTTCACCTGTTTTTTGTTTTGGATTTTTTCTTTTTCATGTACTATTGTGTGTAGCATTTCATTTGTTTTAAGTAATGTGAATTAGTACAGGTTTATGGTGCTTTAAAAATCTAGCTTCTTGCATAGATTTCTGGGAATGCTGCTTAGAGTCTTGTTTCTGACTTTTGGAATGAATCAACAGGTGATTATTTCGTATTATTAAAAGAGACCCTAAAGAGTAGAAACAAAATCAGAATAGTTAGAAATAACATCTGCAGTGAACGTCAGTTCTTCAGAGATAGTAGCTTCAGAAACAAGTGTCACCGAAGAATATGGTACTACACTCTAAGCTGAAGATGGGAGTATTGATCAGGCTTGATACATATATACAAAGAATTATTTGAGAGTTGTCTGCAATAGTAGGGGACTGTATTTGATGTCATAAGAGTTTTTTCCAAACTAGCTTTTCTAAGCAGAAATTCAGCAACTTTTCATGAAAGCAATATAAGAGGGGTACTATGTTCTGCGTAATTGCTGATTTCTGTCACATACCCATGCATGAAACATAAAAACAACTGTATGACCATGATATTACAGGTAGAAATATTTCCCCATGCCAGGCAAATAAATTTATATAAATAAAAATACTGTTCTGTTTTTTTACTGTTTGATTCATTATTTGATGGATGCAGTTGTATCAGGGTCTTTGTGAAAACACATCTGATTTTTATTCTTACACTGGTAAACAATGGGGACTTTGGTTTGGTTTTTATTGTCTAAAGTAAGCTAAAAGAATTACTGAAAACAACATGCAAACGTGTAAATTCGAGAATACAACATTAATTAAACTATTATCTTGCAGTTGTCTCTGTATATATCAGTTATATGTCTCATGTAAATGGTTCCAACATTCAAAATTTTTGATTTTCCGGTGTAATACCTTATCAAAAGCTGCTGATATATGCTACTATTATTTTTACATGTTCAGTGCAGAGCAGTGTTTAGGATTTCCAATAAACAGTTTTGGTTTGATTTGTCTCTCTTAGATCAACCATGAATGAATCTCTGACACTACAAATACCTTTAGATATAAAAAAGTACACATACAAACGCACACTATTTATATGTGTATGTATATATACATAAAATAAACAATGGAATGCAGAAAAAATGAATACTATTTTTGTCCTCTGAAAAAAATATTAAAATAATGCAATTTGCCTTCTGGCTAAACTGCGTATCAGGTGGCCTCTCATTGTAAAAATGTGGCAAGGTGAAGTTCATCAAATAATTTGCCAATAATTTCTATGGTATTTTTGACTGCTAAATAAAAATAATATATAACAGATAAAACATGTTCCACTGAGATTTGTAGCAGTTCTGCACAAGTTCTTATTACAACTCAGATTTTCACTATAAAATTTCAAATCTAGCAAAATTAGCCTACAGAAAACTGATTTAATAAGAATAAATATTGGTTGCGTTTTTCAGGTGGATGAATTTAGATGCATTTATTTTTCTTTTTTTTAATCACAGTAGTTCATGATTTGATCTCATTGATGACCTGTGGGTCACTGCACTCAAATAAGTTGGAGTTGATACCTTTCCTGTGAAGGATGATGAGGCTCACGTTTAGGGGGTTGATTTGTTTGTTTCAGGGTGCGAGTGGCCCCTACAGAACGTAAAGGGCATTGTACAAACACGCTGTCATGCTCTTAATGGAAGTTAGAGAAGAAGCCTAAATTAGATTATCATCTTGCAATACAAAGGTATTACCCCTTAAATTCAGTTCCAGAATAGAAATTATTAGCTTTGTGACGTTTGTGGTGGTTTTTAATTTATTTTTTATTTTTAGGAAGAGTTGCACCCAAGAAATCTTATCCCAGAGCTTTGTAGACTGTTTTATGGTTTAGGCTGGGTAACAGGAACTGGTGGAGGAATCAGCTTGAAACATGGGTAAGTAAAGATGGAAGAGTTTGAATGTGATGGTTATATAGAGAAGATGGCTATGTTTAATAGTTGGTGAAGGCATTGCAGTTCCATGGGGAATGTTTGAAAATTGAGAGTGAATGAGAAAGTGAAGGTGAACAGTAGCTGAGCTTAACCATAGGGAAGGGAGGGTGGCTAGTCTGAGCTAATCATTGGAGTTCCTTCAGTGGAGAAAGAGGCAGCTTCAGAGAATGATTTTTCCATCTTTTTTCTGTCTTTTAAGGTAGATGAATTGTCTTCAAGAGAGCAATTCATGCTCCCCTGTTCATTCCATTGACCGTGGAATTTAGATGATTAGCTTATACCAGGCACCCAGCTTTCAAATTCCTATGGTTAGATGAGATGAGATGAATCGCACCCTAGACACGTTGCGGAGATGTTATTTCCTTTAATAAGGGCATTACAGTTCTACTGAGATGATTTCTAAAGAGAGATTCATGGCATATAGTTGGATAGGCACCAGCAAAACAATTTTTGGTGTGCATCCACTACTAAGAAGCACTGCACTGCTCTTTCATTATTCATGCCCCCTATTCACAATTTCCAAGCTTTTAATGGATACAGAGCTCCTCTTAGTGGCCATTGAGAAAGAAGTACTCATTGTGCCACAGGTATTTTGTACGGCGTGGTGCAATTCTGTATACAGTCAAATGGTGTTGAAATGCTGTAACTTGACATTGCCTGACATTTCATCTTTCTGACATACGCTTGCACGCAGACATGAACAGGCATTGCCATTCAAGCATCTGTTATGAAATGCAGGCTCTAAATGCTAATCTTCATGCTATTCTAAGAGCTTTGGCAGGTCATTTCACTTCTCTGCCTGGTTTGGCAAACAAAGCAACAGCAATAATAATCAGAGAAATGTTAAGAGGGTTAGTTCTTGTTTTGAAAGTTCTTTGTCTATGGAAGTATCTGTCTAGTGCTAAATGTAGGTTATGGCCGAAAAAAAGTCAATAGAGAAAAAACACTAGCATGTTGGTACAATTTTCCTCAGCAGCTCTATCACTTGGTTGCTCAGCGTACACTGAAATACATACTTGAGTTGGTACTGATATATCTTATGTGGTGTAGAATAGGAATCTGTGTGACTGTATTCATTTTTATACCTACAGTAGTGGTAGGTATATTTCAGAATAAATAGACGAAACTGAAAGAGTGGACTAGCTTAGAGTTTCTCCGTAGGAGATAACTAAAGAACAATTGAAATTTGCTTAAAATTCTAGCAACTAATCTTACCAGCTATTCTAATCAGCATTACTCATTGGACAGTTCATATGAGCTACGCAGAATATATACATCAATTTGGATATGGGATATCATATTGAAAAACGATCTATAATTCTCTGTCAAGTGTCCTATATTTCAAATACTGCCTTTCAATATCAAATTTTCCCTGCACATTTAATTTCTGACAATGTTAAGGAAGAATACATTTTTCATTAGTAACCCAATTACCACTTGATTTCTCAATATCTTGCTCTCTAAATCATCTTGCTCATGCCGAGGTAGGAAAACTAAATTAATGAAATGTCAGTGGTGTTAATTCATGAGTGTTAAAAATTACAAACCTGTTAAAGCCACATTTTGATGTGCTTCACAGCTGTTTTACCTATGTGAAAAGTACCTCACCTTAACATTTATATATTTTTTGGAAGGTGCCCTATTGTCCAGAAATACAAACATCTCATTTTCCCTAGGAAACGTATCTGTAACTTGACTAATTATTCACTAGATGTCTCTGCGCTTCTGAATTTAATACATTGCCTTTGCAACTGAGTAATGATTACAGATGTGAGGGAAAACAATCTTATTTTTTGTCTGTTATCGAAAATATTTCACATCTCGTCTTAAAATCATTTTAATCTAATTCTTTTTTTTATATTGTCTGTTCATGTAAACCTTGCAAGAAGTGATGCACTTCTACTTAAATTTCAGTCACTTAATTGCACTGAATTAGTGTTAATTATTTTAGCCATACAAATAAATATATCCATGCATTTAAAAAATATATATAAATTACACTGTTCCAACAAAAACACAAGTATTTACATTGTAGAATGTAAATATTATAGTTGGCATTGCTTATAGATAGTTTGTGCAGATTTTTGTAAATATATAAATAAAAGTGTTTTATCACTTTTTTGGGACAGATCAGAATCTGCTTGAATATTATTTTTTGCTCCATTTTTGTTCTCAATTCTGGGGGTCTGAGTCTGGAATTACTGCATGGGAAGGTTGTGTGGTTTTTTCTAATAGGAAAGATAAGACTTCCTGTGCATGTTTCAGATCTCTTGGCAAGCTGAAAGCAGTATTCTGAACCCGCGTAAGTTACAGAGATTTTGATGATCTGGTTGTATTTTGAAAACCATCTACGTGTGAATATATGGAAGGAGCAAGAAAATGATTAAATTATCATGGATTATCTTTGCTTTTTCCTATATGTAACTTTTCTTAGGAATGAAATCTACATCGCTCCTTCAGGAGTCCAAAAGGAAAGAATACAGGTAGGTTGAACTGTATTTTTACCTCAGAGCTCATCTCAAAATGGATGAAATTACCTTTATTTAGAGTTTCATTTTTCCTTACATGAAGTTTGAAATCTGTTATACTGCTGAATGCCTTCTTGGAGCAGCTGTGGAATTACCTACTGTTAAGTAATCCGCTAGCATAGCAAGCCACTGTTTGTTTCAGTGACGCGTACAGATTAGTCTTGATGATCTCTTTGCCTTAAGTTAACACGGAAAACCATGAGATTTGAAAGTCACTCTAGACAACTTATCCTTTGTCAAATTTAAATAGCTTTCTTGCTAGCTGGCTTCAATTTCAGCTTACTGTGGCACATATAAAATTAAGCATTAACACCTCTTTTCTATTTTTTTTCATTTGAGGGATTACAAATCTTTTTTTCGTCTTGAACTTCAGTAAATAGATAGACAAGGTCACCTTGTCAGGGGAGAGCCTGTCTCAGTTCCTTTCCCATAAGAGCAAAAAACCAAAATGTAAGTGGAGGGAAGAATAGTAAATGATACCTATTTTATGACAGCAGGAACTTCCCCAAAATAGAATTATACATGGAAACGATTTGTTGTTTTACAGCTCTGAGAGTTAGTACAAGGAAAAATGAAAGGGATATCTGTGCTGATAGAAACTTGAAGTTTTGCATAATGCTCAATAAGAGTGTTAGCAAGTTAGGCAAAGGCGTAAGATGGCAAGATGTAATACCCTTTTCATCGCTGGCAGCAGCAGTGGATTGAGTGCAGTGAGCAAGGCGATCTCTTGCAATTCTGTTTTCTGCTGATTTTGTAAGTAATTTTAGAAGAAGAAGGTTTTATTTTTACCCTAAACAGTACTCTGTACTATTACAAACAGCTGTTTTTTGCTAAGGTAGCATTTGTGAAAAGCAAGGTTAAGAGAAAAATCAGTTTTGCAAGTTAAATATCTCTTATGTAAGTTTAATATATATTCTTTGGTTCTTTAAGGAGGAAGGAAAGAGTACATCTACGTTTCTTTCTTTGAATAGGTTACTACGTTTTTTCTTAGATGGATTGCATGTTACTTAGCTATGGTCTCTCTCCCTTCCTAGTAAGTTTTAGATTTGCAAACCTTTGCTTGACAGCAGTCTGAATAAAAAGGGTGCCTAATATTCATTCACATTGCACAGTGATGGTAATTAGTATTAGAAGCTAGAATAAATCTGGTGCGTTATAGCAATTTTACAGAGTTAAATTGTATTCTTTATTGAATATATGTTGTAAATATATAAATCTCCCTAGAAGGAAAACAAAACTGTCTGGGTCATCACAGATTAAAATAATTTCTTCTCTCTTACAGCCAGAAGATATGTTTGTTTGTGACATAAAAGAACAGGACATCAGTGGGCCTCCACCACACAAGAAACTAAAGAAAAGCCAGTGCACACCTCTTTTTATGAATGCTTTCACTATGAGAGGTATGTAATTAATATTTTTAATTCAGAGATGACTAAAGCACTATACACGTATTCACAAAATCAAATTCGGCATCAGGATTCTTTATCCATGGAAAATTATGGTTAAAAACATGAAACTGTGAACTAAATTCAGTTGTACAAGAATGAATAGGATGGGAAATAACCTCACAGGATACAACCATGGGTTAATTCATGCTTTAACCTTCGTATGTAGTTGCACCTATGATCATAATTATAGCACCAATTTATAGTATTAGTAGTTTGGGGGAGGTTACAGCAGCTTTATACCAGTAGTTTTGCTTATTTAGCAACTATGTTTTAGATCGGCGTGCATCCTGTTTCTATGGTCAGAGGTTCTAAATGACTGATAGGAATAAATAGTATGAAACTTGCCTTTTGCTTATAATTAGGTTGCCAATTCCAGTTCAGGATCTGTTTCCTTTTCTGGTATCAGAGATGTTACAGAAAGCTCATTTGTTGCAGTTCATTGTTACATTTAGGTAGCAGCAGGTGGGTTCTGATGTTGCCCATGATGTTCTGCCCCTTTCTCTTCCATGCTTGGACTAGATTGGAGTCCCTACAGATGGACAGTAATAGAGAGTTTTTGCAGTTGTATAAGATTTACATATGTCCTTTCAGGAAAGGACTTAGGGAGTCTCTTCTGATCTTCCTGTACCAGGAACTTATATATATACCTGAGGAAAACTCACTTCCTGTTTTTGGCAACATTGCAGCTTTATTAATAAACTATAATTATGGTGTATGCCTCTTTCCATCGTGGCACATGGTAAAAATAAAATAACAATAAATAACATTTCAGAGAATCAATCTATAATTCAGGAAGAGTAGCTGCATGACAAGATGCATAACCAAGCTCCTCCTCACAAGTAAATCTGTTAATTCTTTAGAATCTCAGGACGCTGATAACATTAGAGTGTTTCGGTCACTACGGTATGTAAAGAAATGTAAAAATAGTTATTGTTTCTCCTGGAATCGGTACTAAAAGTTGATGTTGGTGTCCTAAAATGATTCATAATTATCCCTTATAGACGAGTGATTATTTCCTACTTTTGTTTAGGTTGCCATGTATTTTCTCCCTCAAAAACGGTAGATGACCATTTGCTAAGATGCCTAGTCATAAGAAGTGAATATGCGAATAAAATATTCTTAATAGACACACTTTAAAATTAATTACAAAACAATTCTTTTTGTCTTTTTCTCATCTTAGGAGCAGGCGCAGTGATCCATACTCATTCCAAGGCTGCTGTTATGGCTACCCTTCTTTACCCAGGGAGTGAATTCAGTATTACCCATCAGGAGATGATAAAAGGAATCCAGAAGTGTACTTCGGGAGGATATTACCGGTATTTCAATATATTTAAGAGCAGAGGCATGCTATTTGATCACTCGTATCAATCAAAATAATAGATGACAAATAATTTGAGTTATGTGCATTAAAGTGTGTAATTTAAAGTATTAGGAATAAGAAGTAACATCACCTCCGTAATAAATAAATCAGTCATTGGCTTCCCCTGAGAAGGTCTCATTCCTATGGAAGAGAACTGAGAGAAAATCTTGTAATGTCAAAATTACTGTGGTCTCTCTAACTACAGGCACAACCAAAATAAAGAGCTATGTCCTGACAAAAATCTCAAGAACGGAGGCATTAACACATCTATACCAGGTTAAACTGCAACTGTAGCCAACCAGCATTAGGTTGGATTGATAAAGAACAAACTGCATTTGGGTGGACTTTGGGTGTGCTAACTTAAGGCAAGTTAAGAGAGTAGAGGGATTTCAAATTTTACTTGAGAGACTTTGAAAGAACTTCAGAATAAACAGCTCATTAAAGATAATGTTATTACTTTTCAAGGATGAGCTCTGAGGTAAGTGCTGAGTTATTCCAAATTATGTGTGATGGCTTGTTTTGAGGACTCCACCCACAGAGTATTGAATTGAGACCAGCAAACAACATTTATATAATATGTGACAATTAGAGGAAAAATTGAAATGCTAAATTCTTTCCACTTTTTGATGTTAATATTTGTAACTGACAAATGCCTTTTGGCAAGGGAGCAAAATGTTTGGCTTGAGATTTTATGCTGGGGCATATTCAGAGTTTTGGCTGACTTGCCAGTTTTACCTTTTTCTCAGCATTAACATTTGTTTTTTTAATGTGGCAAAACATCCTAGCAAATACTGAATTGTCTAAACAACACAGGTTTTAAAAATCAGGACCAATTTCCTTTTCTGGATTTGCGTTCTGAATTCTCAAACATTCCTAAATGTTAGACAGGAGACATTTCATGTATTGGATTCCATATCAATGCATTCTCCTCTGTCACCCTTTTCCTTTAACAGAAAAACAAAAGGAATCAAAGCTGCTAATAAAGTTGGTTGCCACTACGTACATATTTGTAGATTCTGATTCCACTATCTTGTCTCCAAGAAACTCTAATTGCATTGAAAAGGAATAGTGCAGAATAGGATCTTTCAAAAAAGGGATTAAGAATACATTGCTTCTAATTACATAAACCTTTTCTGGAAGCTATCCAGGAAAACATTACAGATAGGATAATCAGAAGTATTCTGTGGCCTAGATATGATTCCAATGAAGCCAGAATAGTTTTACCTTTGACTTCAGAAGAGGAATCAGACCCATAATAAAAAGCTTTGACAGTCTTACCCTCAAACTGTTTCAAGATATTTTATAGGAAAGTTTGACTGAACATGATCTCCTTTTGTTTCAATAAAATACTTGATTCCTGTTTAGTTTAACCTCAGTCTTCTGAGGCTTTTATGGATATTAGTTTTTGTTAAGAAGTTTATGGTTATGATTAGGAATCAGTTCATGGTGTTTATGCATGCTATCTGAGGCAAGAGGTAGAGTAACGTGGGGTTCTTCCAAACTCATGTCCAAACAGAAAGCAGAACCTACGAAACCAATCCCTTAGCTGTTCTGGCCTTATTCATAGCAAACACTCCAAATCTAATTTTAATGGCCAGAACATATAAGAGTCTAAGTAAATCTACAAACGTTTCATTTTCTACATTCACTATTTTTATAGACTTCCTTGGGAAAGCATCATTATTTAAAAATGTAAGAGATCAGACTTTTTAAATTTTGTGAATGTCTAATATGGAGTATAAGCTGTATTGTTTTTAGCATTCTTTCCTATCTGTGCTTTTTAAAAGTAAGTTCTACTAGCATCTACCCATGAAATATCTATGTGATCTTGGTGATAAATCTGAACCTGAACTGGGGACTCATTAAAAATATTTAAACAAGTTTCTGCCAGTGTTAATTAAGGTTCAAACAATGCCAAATATCCCAGTCCTCCTTCACAAGAAACTGTTAGGCAAGTTCCACTGAGGAACGTGCATCATCTTGTCTTTGGAACAGGGGTTCTCAAGCTCTCTTAAGATCGCATATAGCCCACCAATCGCTCTATCACAGAAGAGAATTTATTTTTCAAACATCGACTCTTCTTTCTGTTTCGACTCTTCCTTCTATTTATATGCCTTAGCAGGACAATCTTATTTCCAGGGGCTTTTTGGACTACCTAAATTTAATTTTTTTCTGCTCTCCAGCAAATAGTTTCATTTCCTTCTTCATGATGTGATTCTTTTAAATAATTTAATCTGAGATCAAGCTTGTAGGTCATGCCAATACAGGATGAAGAAAGACTGAAAAAACTGCAAAGGGATTGCAAAGTGGTGATATGTGAACAAACAACCGTACCTAATACTTTAAAGTGTTATTTTCTTTTTATACCTCAAGTATGGGTCAGGTGTTGCAGGCTTAGCATAAGTTGGGAAGTGAAAGATATTACTGAGAGTTTGTATGTCACAGAGTGACTCACAAGAGAAGAGCTTAAAATCACTAGTGCTGAGAATCTGTTAACAACTGTAAGCAATGTAAGCAATCAAAGGAGAATCTCTTTCACAGGGAAAAGTGTAAGTCTACGATAGATGATACTCCCAAACACAATCTTTTAGATGCACAAACACCTATTTTTCTATTTAGATATGACGATACGCTAGTGGTTCCCATTATTGAGAATACACCAGAAGAAAAAGATCTCAAGGAAAGAATGGCACACGCAATGGATAAATACCCAGACTCTTGCGCTGTGTTGGTCAGACGTCACGGAGTTTATGTATGGGGAGAAACATGGGAAAAAGCCAAAACAATGTGAGTACAATTTAGGAAGATGGTGTCCTTTGCCATTATACCCTCAAAATTTTAATGAGTTTAAAGCTATGTGTACCCCTCACCTATTGTTAATAATTCAGAACATTCCTAAGTTCTAGGCTCACCTTTTGATTTTCCTCTCTTGCAGTAATGCTGGCTAATAGGGTTCACAACATTTTTCTCTCCTATGGAAAAGTCCCTCCCCATATGAAACCTGCAGACAGTCTCTGCTTTTATATGATACCTTCCAACTGTTTGTATCGTCTTCCCTAGTTCCTTTTGCTTTGGGAATCTAGTTCATTTGTTGGTGGAAATGGAGAAGGTCAGGATCATGCAGCAAAAATGCCAGGACCCAGAGTGTCCCTGCTAACTTTCCCATACCATAGTGATGGAAATGAGCGATAATAGAGCTGTCCAGTCAGACCGCAGCACTGGTGATACACAGCTCAAGGAAGACAATTTTTCACTTTCATAGAATGTGGTAAAGCTTGAGCCTAACTTTACATTTCTCCTTTTAATTTTAAGGTGCGAATGTTATGATTACCTGTTTGACATCTCAGTGCAGATGAAGCAGCACGGGCTAGATCCTTCGAAACATCCATCGGGAGAAAATGAGATCCTGTAAATAGCAACAGCTTTTATATTCAGGTGTGAATTTATCTGTAGAGGTCAAATGGGGTCTGTATGGAGGGAGATACTGCATACAGTGATATCTATTGAGTCTGCATTCCCAGGAAGGTGACAAATCAGACTTCAATACTGCATCTCTCTCCTCACCCCCCACCCACAGCTCTATAAACACTGCAGTTGTACCTGTGCCTGAAGTAATGTACCCTTACCTTGCAGTGCAACAAGAGGAACTGTATTTATAGTTAAGTAAGTCCTGTGCATATTTTAGCAACTATGTACCGCACAGAATGCAATTTCTTTACGTCTTTTTAAAACTAAAATATGTCAGGTGTTACAAGAAAAAGCAGTGAAGGAAAGAGACTCCAGCCTAGTAAGTTAATGTATACAAAGATATCCGAACACCCACTGTCATTCTTTAGCTTGGAGGCTCAGGCATCAGTTTCAGTCTGTCTCAGTGGTGTTGAGGATTTTTCCTTATTTAATTGGTGGCTTTTTTCTTTCTGTAGGGATGACTGGTTGCAACTTATAAATTCAGTTTCACTGATTAGTGTCATGTGTTTACCTTGTACAGTGATGCTACCATGGTTTTGTTTTCTAATGCAGCAATGCTCAACGTTTTATAAACTTCCCAGAACCAGTATTTTTAAAAGCAAGTATGTAATATGATCAGGCAGTACTTTATATAAGCGATGGAGAAGGATCTCTGAAACAATTCTCACACAAGCTTTGTCCAGCTTAGTATGGCAAAACACATTGGTAGCGTGATGCTTCAGAGTTTGGGCACCTCTTCCTGAAAATCTGAGCGAGTTTGAAGATAGCAGTGCTGACATGATAAAGGAGTTGCTAGAGTAAACTCATGGTCTAATTAAGCAGAATGGGCTAACTCATTGCACAAAGTTGGCCCATCAGATAATTCTGTCCACCCACCACATTTGCATCAGAAGAGATGAAAAATGGTTGCTTAGGCAGCATAAGCACAGAACAGCCAGGCACTCGGAGCCTTAGCCATTATGCCCACACTGGATGAGGAAGCAGTGGGACAGAAGGCTTGCTGTCAAATGAGTCTCTGCACAACCAGGCATTTGGAAGGCTGCCACTGCGTTCAGGGCTGAAGACACGCTGCCTACCGCACTTGCACAGAGCTACCACGCGGCCCATGATACAGGTTCTAAAATTGCTCTTCAGCCCCTGCAATTGAAGAAGTTGGACTAGCATGACAGCGTTAATATCCCTTTATTTTTTTCTTATGCCTAAATACCTTGTTTTAGAATATCTTCTCTTCTCTTTTTTTTTCCCTGCGCAGATTTCTTCTTACATCATTATGGGAGTTTCAGGTTCCATGTCACACCACTGAAAGCAGAAGGAGGTGCTGTTATACTCAGTTGATTGGCAGATGCTACCCATCAGTTTAGACGATCAAAGAGGAAAAGGAGAGTTAAAATGAAGAAAATCCTAAACAGTCATTGCTATTTATGAATGTTGTCAAAGACTACAGTGGGAGAAATGAAAATTCAGATGCAAAAAACTTTCTTTGCGGAAGGCTATGGAGAATTAATGTGACATTTTGTTTGTATGTTTTAAAAATTCACGCTTCTTGATCCTGATCCTCAGTTAGATCATTTAACTTGCTCTGGATCTTGATTTCCGAAAGATAAAGTAGCCTTTATTCTTAGGAAAAAAAGTGAGACCCCTCCCCCCCCAAATTAAGTTAGGTATAAAGTTTAAAGCATTGGTTGAACTCTTGGTTAATGTGTAGTACGTTAATAAGATCTCTGAAATTAAGCATATGTATTTCTAATCCTCTTTTAACTGTCATTGTAAGGAGTAGGTGACATAATTTTATAGCTTGCATTTGGAAATCATTACTGAGAAGAGTACTCTGGATCTTGTCTATTTTTTACCTCTGTAAATACCTCGATAAAATTTTAAGACTGTTATGATTTTAAAACAGCTTTTTATGTCCTACAATTATCCAGCCTAAAGTAGATTTAATCTAACTTTATGATTCAAAGAGGAAGCTCATTAAAATAAAATCTCACATATTTACGTGTTTTACCTATATATCGTCTTTCAAAACTTCATGGAATGGACCCCAGTGGAAGTAATCGAAGCCTCAGTTGACCAGCTTTCTGTTTGAATATTGAGACTCTAGTCCCAAGGATGACACGAGAGTGAATGAGAGCCAATAGGCCAACTTATGCTGCCTGAGGGAGAGGTCTTGTTTTCCCCTCCTGTTTTCTGCTGCGGGCCATGCATTTCCACCACCTTCCTGGCATCGTCTCTGGCACTTTTTTGAGCTTCCATGAGGTGAATTAGTTCGTTAACCTAAGCGAAAATTACTGCAGGGGGGAAAAAAGAAAATGATATTGTTTCCTAATCAGTCACCGATAAGTTGAATTAGCTTAGAGATCGGTCCAAAGAGTACCGGGGCTGGGACAAAAGTGGAAATGGCTAAAACGGAGGATGAAAGAAGAAGAGGGAGACCCTCCCCCTTTTGATGGCAATGACCGTTCAACTTACTCAAGTACTCTTCTAAGTATTCCACTAAACCAGGAAGTCAGAAAGAAACTTCTTATATTTCCCTCCCATTTAATAGCATTGACTTACTTTAGTTATTATGCCAGATTACTGATTATAGCACAACATATACTTTTGGTATAGTGGTAATTGTGTTGTGCTGAACTTACGCAATAAAGGTATTGTTTTGGCTTGGTGGCTGTTTGTGTCCCCTTGTAACAGTCAGTCACTAGACTCAGACAGAACTCATCTGCGGTAAAACATTATGGTGTAAGCTAAGTGCCTGCTGTCCTGTTACATTCTTACATCGAAGGAGTAAGCAGATGTGGACCTCTTCTGGATTTTCTTACACATTTTAGGTATGCAAGTATAACATTGAATATGTTTGGCATTTTTTGCCATTCAGTTTATCTTCTGAGCTTTGCTGGGAATCTAGGCGATCAAAAACTAAAGGAGGAGAGAGTCCTATTAGACTCATACTGCTTCGTTATATATCTGACATGCTTTTTTTTTTTTTTTTTAAGCCCAGAGTCCACCCCAAATGCTCATTGTCCCTTCCCAAATGCTCATTCTACCTCATTCTTACCATTCATAGAGAAAAACAATATTCAGTGCTATGCTGACAGACTGGCAGGTTTCATTAAGAACTATGTCCTGTGACACTTACTTAGACAGGTTTGCCCTACCCTGATGTAAGCAGCGATGGGCCTGCCGTGTGCAACCTTTAAAGTGAGGGGGTTCTTCATTCTTGTGAAATGATAGTTATTGCTTACTTACGTCAGGCTGTTGACTGTGTTTTTAATTGACACGTTTCTCATTATTAGACACTTATTTGTCAGTGATAAATATTTTGCAGTGACTCTGTATCCTGTGATGGTACGTGGACTGCAGCAGAAACTTGCATAGAAAATGTTGGGTTTTAGATCAGAGCGCAACTCGGGGCAGGCTGCATACTCCTGCTCTAGTCAGGCACAAGTCACATCTAAATAAGACCTCAAAGGCATAACAGACATGAAAGAAAAGCAGATTGTGTTTTCCTGAATGTTCTTCCTCATGGTCATGCTAAAAAAAAAAAAAAAAAATTACCTATTGATGTGACAGTCCACTTAGTGATGAAACCTAGTTGCCGTCTATTGATTGTGACCTCTGATACATGCTTTAAACTGCTAAATCTCTGCAAAAGTGAATTCCTGTGGTATTCTGATGCTGATGTCAGAACAGGACATAATTATATCATTCCATGATAATGATGTTTTGTAAGGATAAAGATGTTTTTACGCTTCTTGGTTTTGTTTTGTTCTATGTGGATATTGAAAGACTACAAAAGAAGACTCAAGGGAAGTATTTTTTGCCAAATATTTTCCTCTGGGGTCATATGTTAATTACAAATATTCACTTCCTTAGGCAAATACAATCTGTAATTCTGTTCTTTCTAAAATTGGTGCAAAATACAAGTTTTCTATAGTAGTTATCACGATTACTTTATTTGGGACTCTCATATACTCAGAATCTCAGTCAGTGGTATGGAAATGAGCTAAATATACTGTCCTCATATCTGTTTGATATCTGTTTGATATGAGGAGCCCTCAGCAAAGAAATCAAAGATGTCACAACCTTGTTATCTTCATAAACTTGTGAAATGATTGCTGTTTCCCAGAGTGTTCAGAAGGCTTTTACTTTTACAGTTCAGCTCCAATTATGTAAAACAAAAATGTTGAAATTTCCTAATTTAAAGCTTCTAAATTTCTATCATTTGGAAGTCTAGATCACTTTCTGATGTGAATTGATTACTAAGCCGGTGAGATATTTTTATCTGCATCGTAGCTGATTATTTAAGTTTAGAATCATCAGATAGTGTTATGTAAAAGTGACATAATTCCCATTTCGGGTGACTCATTCAAAATATTAAGTTCCAATATTTCCTAATAAAAGTAATTTCCCAGCAAACTTCCCACTTGCTTTCCAAGAAGAAAATAAAATTGCAAGATGCAACATCTTATAATATTACGTCATACAGCTATAACTTACTTTAAGCAGGTAATGATGCCTGTAAGTCCTCTACTGTGCTATAATGTCTGAAAAACTGGAATTCTGTTTCCTTTGACTGTGAAATGTACATTTAAATATTAACATCTAAAAAGACTAGTGGAACAACACAGATGAATCAGGAGCCTTTCTCTGATTTCTTTGTTCTTATGCTTTTTAGCAAATATTTTTGTACCGATTTTTAGCAATCTTTACAGAAGGTGGCAAATTGGCAGAAAAGCTGGAGCACTTTAGATGCATTATTTCTGCATCAAGAAACAGGAAGAAATGTATGGTTTGATATTAAAGCTTTTTAGTCAGACTATATCATTTTCAAAATTGTAGGAAGACTCTGACCTGATGTAAATTACGTTATCCCTACTGAAGGAAGTTATTAGTCACATAAGTCACAGATTCATATGCAAGTAACTTACTGAAATTAGGAAAATGCTTTCTCTTTTGGAGTTACTATGGATTTAGAATCCCCCCCCCCTTTTTTTTTTAAATAAGGGAAGGTGAATCATTGTGGGGTTTTTTTTCCCTACATGTAAGGTGAACCACAGCCCCACATTATGTACAAATACAACCCTCTGAGGTGTGATGGACTTTTGTAACAAATATAGCAGTGTCTTTGACTGAGCTTTGATACCAGTTAAAGCTTTTACAGAGTCAATGAATCAGAATGTTTGGTTTAATTTTAAGCCAACACTGTCCCTTGATGACTGGCGATTCTTAAAGTTTCATGTCGTGGAGTCGTGTTACCCCAGGAGAACGCTAACTGGCGTTTTCAAAGGGAGCAAGTTTCTATGCCCCCCTGGCTGAAAAAGAACTCCCAGGCATTTATCCTACTACTGCCCAAAGAGTCACATCATAAATCTGGCGTTAAATAGAATCTCACTATTTTTTAATTGATATCATTAGCATGGGGACCTATTTCTACTAAATTTGAATGCTAGTGGTTCAGTAGACTGAGTGCAGTATTGCAAAATTATTACTAAAACTATGACACGAGTTATTTCAGTTGGCTTTTTCTAAGGATTTTAATTTATTTAAATAAATCCCAAATAGTCAGCCTTTAAATTTTTCTAGTTGTCTTCAGACTTTTTCCAACATCTGCTATGTTGTGCTAGAGCACAATCAGAAAAAAAGTAGCGACTGGCTAACGTGTAACACCAAAAATGGACTAAACATGCTCAATTAGATGTGATTTAATGCAGAATCATAGAAACTCATATTGACTGAACAGCATTTGCAAACACCCACTCTCTCTCTGTAGTTAAGTACTTTTTTTTTTTTTTAAAGACATTGTGCTATTGTACTAGCAAGTTTCTCTCATCTGTGACAGATAAAATTACAGAGTTTAATCTCCAGAAACTAGCTGAACAAGAATTTATTTAAATCGTTGGGCATAAATTCTCTCTCATAGATGAGCCTCAGATTAGCTCTGATTTCTCTAATGGTAATTTCTGGTAATTACAAACAGAATACACTGGATATAGAAGAAAGAATAGGTCTTATATTTAAAGCAAAGAGCCAGAAATCTAGATTCTGTGGCTGATTCAAGCGTTACCTTAAGGTCATGCCTTGAACAGTTCACTTTGATGGGAGTTTCAAAAGAGCTGGAATGAGTCAGGTACTGCCTATATACCACTAGAGAGTTAGATGCTGGAGTTTCATTAAGCTCCCCTGGAACTCCCAGGATTTAGCTCTGTGCTTTGCAATCTGGGGTGGGGGTGGGGGGAATAGGGAGGGAAGGGGCTAGAGTGGCAGTCACTAGCTCTTCCGTAGCATGTTCCAGGTAGACATCAAATGCCTGCTATTTTTTTCCTTGAAAAAAGATTTCTTACACGAGAAACACTTCATTTTTAAGAATAAGGTTACCTCACAATAGCATCACCTGGCACAGTATTACAAAAGCAAGAAATCAAAAACAGCTTTCCTGCTTGCTCAGAGACGCACATTAATACTACCATATCACAACTTTTGCAACTTTAATTCTGCCCCTGCCAAAGGATACCATTCTTCCATAAACTGTCCTTTCAGACGAAACTGTTGATACCCATCCCTAAGTTCCAATTCTCCAGACAAAGCAGGTTACCCTCACAGTCCCTGTCTTGATACGGTTCCAGAAAACAACATCACTGCAATAAATTTAAATACATGTATATGTGTGAATGATGATGGTCAGCTACCTGGGCTCATCTGGTTGCTCACTGATGCTTACAATTCTTTTGTCTTTATGCTTTGTCTCATTTCTGTGTCTTACTCTGTTTCAGTTCTGCTTTGCTGTAAGATGTTTCTCTCCCTCACCTGCTTTCCATACCACCTTTGAAACTAAATGTAAACTTAATACCATTTGCATTCTGGTTAACCTTCCAAACCCAGGAATAGTTTTGTGTTAGGCAAAAAACAACTTATCCCTTCCCTGATTCATCTGCTATATCCCTGACATATCCGAGCATGTCCTGTTATATGCATGTTTGCTAAATGTTGGTACCTAAAGGGTTAATATACCTTCTGCTCCTCAGACACGCTATTTAGGATTTTGCAAGAAAACGTCTGTTGGTTGCAAGAACATATGAGCAAGTATGAGACTAATTTCCTGTTAAAGAGTTGC